ACTCTAACCTAGTCCAGTCTATCGTGGTTGGGCGGGTTTCCTACGGGGCTGCAGGGGCTCTTCCCCGCCCGCCTGAGCTAGGTTCCCCCGGTAGGTTTTTCACGGCAGGAGTTTGATTATTCGTGGCGGGGCAAATCAACTCTCCTACGGGGCGGACTGTTGTACTGGCGGGGGAAACTATTAGAGCACCGAAGACACAGCCTGCCCTGACTACTATTCCCCAACCACGATAGACTGGATACCAGGTTACTAAACTCTGAAGTAGGGCTGTGTACCTAATGCCCGTACCTGTAGGATATTTAGGTACAGGTCCGGCAAGCCATCTATAACGTTACTGTCAGTGGCCAGTTGTACAACATTTATTCATTATTTATATGATGCGCATGCTTTCCTAGCCATTCCTAAGTGATGTATTATTGTAACATTGCAAGACACAAACCATACGAAAATCCAGTATTGTCATATCAAACTTGTACAACGGATATGTCTTTTTTAGCCAGTAAAATCCATGTATCTTTTTCAGAAGCATATTTTGTAGTGTTATATGCTCATGAAGCCGGGTTGTTACATTATGACATATTGTAAATTCAGTGTACACATTAATGTCACTATTCTTTCAGTCAAGAAGAGAAAATCTACCATCTAACAACTACTGAACAATGGGGAGCGACATGTCGTAGTTAAAACAAGTTCTACCTCCATTCCAGACTTGACCGGTACTAGTATGAGCAGGGGTCGAAATTCATTTTCGGAATAAGTGCACTGGTACACCCAACCTAAAGAAATAGGTGCACAAAACGTTTCTTGGGTGCACCATATAAAATAGATTAAGGAGAATGTCCGCAAAAACTAATTGTGTTTCATTTCATTGGGATGAAAAAGTAAAAAAAAATTGAGAATATGTTGTACATATGGAAAAATAGAAAACTTACCTTTTATGGGAAAGTGACAGTGTTGAAAACACTGATAATGTCACAAATCATTTACCGTGCCACTACACTTGTTGTCCCTGAAGAAACGATCCTTAAACTCAATAGTTTGTTTTACAACTTTCTATGGTCTGGAAAAAGAGATAAGATAAAACGATCTGTAATGATATCAGACTACGAGAATGGTGGAGTAAACATGTTGGATGTTAGATCACAAATACAAGCTCTACACGCTGGTTTAATTCGTCGTTTGATGGACGGCACTTCTGGTGACTGGAAACTCCTCCCAAGTTTGTACCTTAATAGCTTGGGAGAAAATTTTCTAATTTTAAAAATGCATTTTAGAAATAGATTGAACTGTCCAAACATGGAGACTATACCACTATTCTATCAACATGTCATTTTAGGTTGGCACAAGGCAGGAGGAGGAGATGTGTCAGAACCTTAGACTGCACATGAGGTTAAAAGCCACATATTGTGGGGATCACGATTTATTGTAAATACACAAGGACAACAAAAAAGAAGATCTTTGTTTTTCAAAAAGTTGATACACTCAAATATCATATACATAGATGACTTGCTGGATGACAACCTCTGTATAAATGAGAATTGTATATTCAACAAATTACAAGATCGTACTAACTGGCTAAGCGAAATTTACATGATAAAAACCGCTATTCCCAAAAGCTGGCTATTGCTGTTGAAAAGAGAACATGAGTCAAGACCGGTAACGGTGCAAAATTTTGATTTTACCAAATACACTTGTAAATATCTTTACAAGATGATAATTTCAGACAAAATTCAAAAATCACAGGTGGAAAATATTTGGACAAATAAATTTCAAATTGATCCAGCAGTCTTTCAAATCCCGTTGAAAGACAGAACGGTCATTCTCACAACAGAAAGAAAACTATCAAATTTCATGTTCAAACTTTTGCACAGAATACTCCCGAACAACAAAAATCTTTTCAAATGGAAAATAATAAATTCACCTTTATGTATGATATGTATGATAATAGAAGACGGCGAACACATGTTCTTTAAATGTAAAAGAGTAAACAGCTTCTGGGAAAAGGTAAAAAAATTATTAAGTAATATAACTGATATTGATATGGACTTTAAAACATGTATACTGGGGATTTCAAGAAATACGTTTATAGACAGAATCGCAAATCATACCATAGCCATAGCACTACATGTAATTTTTTAGAGTTGGGCATTATATAAGGATAAAAATTACTACAACAGAATAGATTGTTTTAATTTATTTGTCAGAGAATGTATGGAAAAATTTAAGATCGAAAAAAACATTAACAAATACCGAATCACATGTACAATTATTACAGAACTGGATTGATAAACTTTCAGGAGAATGTACTATGTAAATCTCAACAACAGCTCAAAATATGTTCCGTTTCTTTAAGCCACTTCAAATAGACTGCTGACCGCTTTCTATTCGGGACATGTTAAAGTACCGTACATATGATTGTATGTCCATCAAATAAAATATTGTAGACAGAGTAGTGCCATAGTAGTACCAGAATTGTACACAGAATGGGTTTTGTATATTGTATATATTGATTTGAATAAAGATTTTAACATAAAAAATAAAAAAAAAATTGTGTTTCATTTCTAAAGAAAAGTACTGCAAGAATGATTTTATTATTTTTTGACACTTAGATGTAAAGAAAATGCTGTATACTACTATACATTTAACACCTTGACATAAGTAAACCTAGGAAAATATTTGGGTCCACTGGTGCACCCACAGAAAAAAAATGGGTGCACACATGCTCCAAATTTGGGTACACTAAGGTGCACATGCACCCAGTATTTCGAGCCCTGATGAGTATGAGGGAGGTAGAGTGCAATAGACCCATTCGACTTTCTCGGATCGCATAAACTGCTTACGTCACAGGGGGGACATTTTGAAAGAACGTCGTTCTAGAACACTGAAGTTGAACGCGGCTTGCGATGTCCCCCTGGCAGATCACTTTTTTACTAAAATGTAGGTAAGTGTCTTTTTTTCTCGGTAATATATGCGGAAATGACAGGAAAACAGGCACCAACATTGTATGGTGGCAATCCGTACAACAATTTAATGTTATTTTGTTCTGTGACGTATGCAGTTTATGCGATCGTTGAAAGGAACTTTCGAAATGCCCCCCCTGTGACGTAGTTTCTATTCGAAATGTCCCCCCTGTGACGTATGCAGTTTATGCGATCCGTGAAAGTCGAATGGGTCTATTACCAGTCCCTGTATAACCGTGTCAACAGAAGAGTTCGTTTGTGATCACTGAAGTTTTTTGCTGTCTATTCCGGTGTGCAATAAATATCTGTATTAGTAGTCCCCACCAGACTTCTTTTGCCAATGGCGGGGCAATGGAGCTTCCCTGGCCGGTTTAATATCTTCTTTGGCCAATTAAGACCCTTTTTAGGCCGATTTCTACGATTTATTCACCCCGCAAAAGAAGTTTGGTGGAGTATGTATTAGTACTTCAGCGTTGATCGCACATATAAATTCGTACTACAGCTGTGTAGGTACCGAATTGCCTGTGGCACTAAAGACACGTCGTTCATAGGGCACCCCCAAGCGGTATCAAGAAGTACTACATATCATTGATCACCTTTCATGAAGCGGCATTGTGTAACATTTAGGACGATACAAACAGTAAATTTTCTGGTCATTTCTTAACAACG